AAATTCAATAATTTAATCAATTTTCATTCGATTTGGGTAAATTTCATCGAATTTATCCTCTACGTCGTTTCCAGTGCTTATGAGTTGTTTTAAATCGCGCTTATAATTATACATACTTAAATACTATTTTAAAGATGCTTTTTATTCAATATGTCACCATTTTGTTACAAATTATTTAAAAAGTGGAAAATTTTTGTCATAGACTGCCGTAATACAATTTATAGATTTATAAACATTCTTATGAATTTATCAATTCATTCACTGGTATTACTATTCACATTTTAGCAAAATAAGCATCACGATAATAATAAATGTATGTTTTTTAATACACACTTAAAACATTATCCTCTCTGATCAGGATTGCAAAAAACCCACCTACCCAGTAAAACTCGCCCGGGTTTAACTGGGTAAAACCCACCCTAAAGTGGGTTTTTCTAAGATTGATTTCTTTTTTATCCTCTGTTATATTTAAGAGCTATTCAATTTAAATATATATGTAGTCTAGCCTAAAAAAACTAACCTATGGTGAAAAAACTAACTATGTTGGAGACGCGTGAGTTACCTTGCTGGCTAGATTTGACTGTATGGCTATTGATTAGTCAGTGCCTTTGATTTGCTTTCTACGCAAATTAAATATTTTCCTCAAATATTTTTTAAGACTAAAATATGAATAAAAAGTAATCCTGTGTTAAAATAAGTTTCAGATGTGTGTGAGTACACATAACATTTTGTATAGTGATGTCAGAGGAAACTTTTTTCAGACTTTTGCATCAATTTATTTGTATTAATTACCTATATGTTAAGTCAATTTATAAAATTAAACTTTATTAATATTAAAATAGGCTGTTTTAAATAAGGTACTTATCCCTGACCTCTCTTTCGAAAAAAACTCCATTGAAACATAAAAAACCCAGAAAAGCCCATTAAAACCCACCCGGGTTGGAGTTTTCTAGAAAAAACCGGGTTTTTTGCAAGCCTGTCTCTGATTATTATGTTTTTTATAAACAAGTATATTTTATTATTATTTTATACTTATATTGTTATTATTTTATACTTTTATTATTATTTTACGCTTTTTTATTATTTTTTTCAATTTATTTTGGGTATCAAAGAATCAAGATAATGATAAAATAAACAAATCTGTACCCTATTTGCTTATTGAAAACTTTTTTTCTGTTTTTGTATTTATTTCTCATTATGTTAGTAAGATGCAAAAGTTTTATTTTTTTGTAACTTGGTGTTTTTGTTAATTATGAAAATAAGTAAATGGGATGGGAAATCTAAAGAAAAAATTCTCGATTTATTCTTAACTCAAACAAAACAGAAAAAATTTAAACTAATGTTTTTTCCCTCAGCATAACAGTTCTGATTTAAAATTAATAGCATTTTTAGAGCAATAGTATTTCATTCATTATAGATATTTTCACTCCCAATTTTATTTATATGATATTAGTTTTTTTTTCCTATTCTTTCTATATTATTTTTTAAAAAAATTTCTAATTTAATCCAGTTGATTCGACGACAATAAAAATTAGTATACAAAATATTGAAAAATTGTTATTTCATTGCAATTTTTAATTGTTGTTTATTATTTTGCTTTTTGGGAGGGAACAATTTTCCAATGGAATTTTGATTCCTTACCGCCTAGTTAAAGTGCTCAAATTTCAATTGAAGCTCTGTACCTGTTATTAATACGACTTACAATTGTTAATACTGCCCTAAATGGTGCTAGCAAAATTTAATAGCTATCGAAATTTCGCTTTCCGAGATAAGCTAACAGGTGACAAAACTGAAAAGTTGAAAATAAAGTTAAAGAACTATGTTTTTTAAGTAGGCTATATAGGGGAATATAATTTACCTAAACTTAATGCAAGACCTAAAACAGAAAAATGTAGGACACATCGCTTTCATAATATACTTTAATCACTACTGAAAATTCCACACGCCTTTTATTATCTGAAAATAAGTAAGTATTGAAATAGGGTGATGCAGGTCCAATACGCCTAATCAGTAATGCCCCAATCCCAGCGAAGCAATCCAACTAAAGCGCTTGAAGGTCATGCAATTAGTGGACACGCAAGACAAGAGCACCACAACAAGACGTCAATGAGCTTAGGAGGAATCAAGCATGGAGTCAGAAACCCAAAGGGTGGCAGGGCCGACAGCAGAGAGCCAGCCACCACACTGAGACCCACTAAGCAGACCTCTGACTGGAAAGCCTACAAACCTTGAAAAAAACTTTATTTAAAAAAAAGAAACAATACAGATTTGATTGGAAACAGTTAAGATATAAATTTGGAGTTGCGCTTGATAGCTTGCAAAACCGGAGCGGGAACAGGAGGACCAGTTCTAGCGGTATCCTGTTTTCCGTTGCATTAATTCTTTTGCCCATTGAAATGGAGGGACAACTGGATTGTAACGCGCTGGATGAAAATTGGCTCATCACTTTCATGAAAAACTTCAATCGCAACCGGAAATAACCCCATGCCTTTTAAATCAAAACACATTATTTTCGTAACCAACTCTCATCACTGCATAGAATCCCCTTGCGTCTTTCAAAACAGAAACCAAAAACTTAACATCACTTTCGTTACCAACTTTAATCACTGCAAAAAATCCTCCTACGTATTCGAAAACTGAAACAAAAAATGTGGGGCACATCGCTTTCGTAATAAGCTTTTACTGCTACCGAAAATCACAAACTGTAAACGTCTTTTAAAACCGATGCGCCCCACGTTTTTCGTTTTATGTCAGATAAAAAAATTTCCTTCTTAGTCTCCTTTTTAAAAAAATGAAGCCTTTGAAAATTTTCCTTTTATTCTTTTCTTCGTTTTATTTTTGTGTCTATTAGTTTGTTCATGCATTAAAAACAATTAAAATGATACTTAGGAGCGAAACTACATTAATTATGTGCAATATACAAATTTTTTTTTAGATACAAAATCGAGTATATCTAGAAAAGAATCTAGCGTAATCGTCTCTATCCTCGCTAGTTCCAGTGGATATTTTTCATTATTTTAAACAGTCTTAGACACGTCGAATAATCTATAGTGATATAAAATGTGTACAATATATCCCTTGACAGGGTGTCCTGTAGATGTTTGGACAAACTTCTAGTGTAAGTAGTGCACATTATAATGATTCAGAATTACCTAGAAAACTCTGACCGGAAATGTCATCGTAAGCTGCTAGGGGCGCTTTCCTATTACGGACACGTTGTTCGCGTCCCTTTGAGCATCCCCTTTTATTTCATTTTTCTAAAATATTTTAATTACATGTTAATTTTATTTTATAACCGTCGTTGAACAGCCGACCCAATTTCGGATTTACGACTACTAATGTTCAACTCCGTACCCAATTTTGACCCCGATCCAGAAGACAAGGGAACTCCGGGATCGAGTATTGGGAAAAATTTGTCTTCGTGGAGGACTTTTTGATAGAGCTACCGCATTTGCGTTACATGGAGAGGAAGACCACGAGAACCTCCCACTGTTAGCCTGACGGCAAGAGGACTCTAACCCATGATCCGTCTACCACTAAGGATATTTCACGTCAGCACTGGGATTCGAAAAGGCGAACGCTCTATCCCCTGAGCCATCGCGGCTCTTGTGTTACCATTAGTTACTGCCGTGAGTTCCATTAAAATAGGCTGAGAAATGCTATTTTATCGTAATTTGAAGATTAGGCGAGCTTGTCCATTTAGTCGCCAAATAATTAAATTGCGATAACAGTCGGCAACCGAGTAATCATACCGTTTCCCACAGCAACATTTGGTGCAGCCCTACTTGCAGGTAATACCGTACCTATTTGAAAGCAGTTTTTAACAACAATTAACAAAAAGCAAAAAATTATGATAATTTCGATAAGTAGAAAACCGGATGTTAACGATGTAACAGATCATAATAGTAAAGGCTGCAGAAAGGCAACTACAGAGTTGAAATTTGTCGTGTTGAAAGAGCCACTTTTGTTTATGAACATTAGAATATTTTTTTTTCAAGTTCTAATTTGTTCGAAAGTTATTGCAATTTGAAGTGCTTTTTTGCTTATTTTTTTCATGTTACATTTTATTTTTTCTTCCAAAAATGTAAATTACGTAGGTGTGTAGAAAAATATACATGGAATTAAAAAAAATTTTCGATTCTATTGTTATTTAGGAAATTATTAACTGTTAAACTTGTAATGAAATAAGTATGATTGTTGATATACTGCCGGCTGAAATGCCATAACTGAGTTGAAATTTAACGAGCTGATATTACCATTTTAAATTATAAAATTAACTAGAGCTTTTTTTTTCTAGAAATATCTACTTGTTTAAAAATAATTGCAATTTTCAGTGCTTTTTTGTAATTTTTTTTCCTTAAATAGTAATTATTTATCCCTTGTTGTAGAAAAATTTATCTCTCTCACAATTTTCCTTTTATAATCTCGCGCTGAACTTAATATGCAAGCGATAACAAATCTATGACACACAAAAAAAATGAATTAATGAAAAATAAGAAAGATTAGACGTTGCCGCCGGATATAAATCTTATAATACATATTTATTTCGAAATTTTTAAAAATATAAAGATTGAAGAAAGATAAAAACTGTTTCCAATGCTACCTGTTATATGATATAAGATTACCGTTACATATAGACAGGTAAAATTACTTCCTATTGTGTTACACATTCTGTATTCTGAAGTTGAAATCTTTTTTTTTAAGTACAGCTTTCCAATTCAAGTATTCTTTCATTTCGTTACGCTTAACATATTAATAAAATGTGTTTACATAATAATAATAATTTATTAAAAAGTTTATTAGTTTATTAAAAAAAATAATAATAGTAATAATGCTTCCCTAAAGAGTGAAAAAAAATATTTCGAAACAAATATGTAAAAACTGCTTCACCTTCGCAAATGATAATCGCTATGGTTACACCACACTCTCGATAACATTCGCATTTTCTTGTTCTGATAAAACAATAACTCTATCCATAGTTTTTTTGTTTTTCGTTCGCCATGAATTTAATGATGTTAGAGGTTTCAGCAAACGCCCCTTCCCTTTTCAATGCTCAAGAATGGGGAAAATCGACAGATCACCGAAATCAGGAGGTGCTGTCAATATTTTCAAGCCTATCGAACACCCTGGTTTTCAGAGAATAGGCGTATCGAGATCGCCCAGTAATATATCACTTCGATCAACGAAACCAAATGTTTTCAGCAGCACCCCTAAAAGTGAGAAAACCCCACCTAAAAAAGAATTAGAAAGGAGCATTACAAGCAGTACAAATGATTCCAGAGATTCTGATTCAGATGAGGAAGTTGACCTTTTGTCTGTGAGTTATAAGTCGATTGAAATAAACTCATCTGTGAGTTTCACAGAGGATGTCCATTTAAGAAGACATGAACTCTATGTTAAGGATATTGAAGATTCCAATGATGTCTTATTTGCCATATCACCCACCATAAGGTAAGATCAAACATTTTGATTTGATTAAACGATATCATTTCAAAGATATTACTTAGATTTACTGTGGCCAATAGCCCATTAGTGTAACTCTATTACAACGTTACATACTAACCAATACTTGGATATTAATCATGGTAGTTTTAAAAGTTCTCATAACTTAAAGACTGTCAAATGTGGTAATTGCTGCAAATTTGTCGGTAAGTTTACCCCTTTAAACGATAAAGGTAGTATTATTGTATTTATTAAACTTTATTGTTCCTTCAATAAATAAGTGATATTCATTTCTTTTTTTCTTAACTACAGGAGATGCGATTTTTTTTTCCTTCACATTTAGCGATAGTTTGACATGCAAAAACAAATGCTAAAATTACCCCCTATTAATGGTACTTACTTTGTAATTAATAATAGTAAATTTGAATCTATTCACTTTAACTCCTATATCTTTTCAATTTTGAACCCAATTCAGAAGGCTAGGCAACCTCTATGTGTCCATGTCATGTATTATGACAAACTTGCATTATATTTCTTTAATGAACCTATCCGCATTTACGTTACAATGGTGAGAAAACACGAAAATCTCTCACGGTTCGCCCGATAGCCCTACTAACCAAAAAACATTACACAATTGCATAAATAGATGCAATCATGCTATCTTTTCCCCTTTTTGTTCCTTCAATGAATAAATTATATTCAGCTTTTTATTTATTCATTTTTTCTGTCTAGATACAGCAGATATGATTACTTTTTCAATTCCTACTATTAGTTCACACTCTCCCTATATCTTGTTCAAATTTTCAATCGGTAATAAAATACTATTATTTCTTCCATTGAAGTTCAAATACATTTTTTCAAAACTTGTAGTGGGTGACACTTGATGTTAATACAGTTTTTTCAAGTATTAATTCATTAATTAAATTTAACCGTTATTAATTTTAGTTTTATATGGATTCCATTAAAAATATTGAAGCCATGGGTCACTATTTTTAAAGCATTAGCACACGAAATTTGATTCATTCGAAGAACTCGTTGATTCCCATTCTGCTTATACTAACAAGGAAAACTGATTAAATAAAATTTTTCTTTGTAACCTAAGTAGGAATTGACTTTAAATTATTTTTCTCGTTACATTACTTGTTTTTATTTTTTGCCACAAAGTTGCTTGCAAAGGCCAGTTACCCCAGTTGATGGTACTTACTTTGGGATTGATAATTGTAAATTCGAAGCAATTCACGTAAACTCCAGTATCCTTTCAATTTTGAACCTAATTCAGAAGGCTAGGCAACTTCTATGTTGAGTATTATGGCAAACTTATTCTATGTTTCTTGAATGAAACTGCCATTTACGTTACACGGTGGGGAAAACAAAAAGAAAATCTCGTAGTTAATCCGACGGCAATCGAACTCTTAAGTCAGTGATTCGTCTGTCTCGTGCGGTTGAGGATGTTTTTGTACCATCTCTGCTGGCTAAAAAACAGTGTACTGATCCAAAATCTCGGATGAGATTTGAGTTTAGAAACGTTCTATATCAATGCAACATCGCCTGATTTATCCCTAGCAAGAAATTTAATTAGTAGGGATAGCCTGGCTAGCAGGGCACTGGACTCACTTTTGGAACAGGAGTTCGAATCCAGCCGGCCGAAGACTCTCCGTGTAGTAAATGGTGACTGCTGCGGGTACTGATTTGTCGATTGCTGGTTCTCTGGTTTAGGTCAAAATTACAATCTGTGGATGAATGGATATATGAATGGGTCCGCCCTATACACAGATGCGACGTATGGGTGTGGTAGAATTCGAACTGTTGGCTGTAGATTTCGCCACTGGAAAACAAGAACAATCGCACCCCTGCCCTTAATATCCAACGACAACAACAAGAAGAAATGAAATAATACTGTGTAAGTTATTGTGCAGCATTACCTTGTTAATTTTATGGTAACAGAATTTTCTATAACTTTAGAAGCTTTGGAAAATTTTATGTTTTAAAATTGTTGGCTACAATTTGTATCGATTATAATAAAAAAGAAAACATAAAACGTTGTATTCTTCTTTTGTCTACCTATTTTGAAGTATATTTCAAAATGAGATGAAACGATTAAATTATTCTTACGCGATGCATTAAATCTATTTCATTTCAAAGTGCCTTTGAGATTTCTTTTTAATGAAAATTATCGAACAAACTGTTACCTTCTCTTTACTGACATAATGAATCATAGATTAGCCTGTGGCGTTATGATTGCATGATCTATCGAAACGAGATAAAACTGTTTTTCTTTTGCGAACCTAAACCGTAAAAATGCCATAGAGTCAAAACTAGAATTGTTATTTGAATAAGTTTTCACAATTGTAAAAGAATAGGGTTTTTTTTCCCCTTCTACTTTTATTCTTTGTATTTTCATTAATATGACACATCATGATTTAACCACGGCTATAACGAACACTTAACATTTAATTTTTATTTAATTCAATGCCCGCTTAAAAACTATCAGAAACAGTTTAAAACATTCCTTCTTTTTTTCATGTCAAAGACCCAAACTCCAACAATTCGTGTTAAAAGTTCTGTTGTTTTAAAACTTATAATGCAAAAGATAATAAAGTTGTTTGAATGTTAAGTTTTATAGCTCAAGAAATCGGAAGCAGTTCTGCTACAAACTTAAGCAACATTGCTTGCTTAGAGTAACAAAATAAAACGATGTTATAAACTTAATCTGACTCTAAAGGAAAGGAAAGGAGAAAGATCGTGTATTGGGGTTGTAAAAATTTTATTTACTTGAAAAGGTGAAACATTGGACGCGATAATGTCGAGAGTTTTATGAACGAAACTAATTTAATTATTATTTAATATTTTTAATTATTATTTAATAATTTCAGTTATTATTTAATATTTTTAACTATTATTAATTATTTTTATTACATAGTAATAATATTTTTGTAATATTTTTAAATAGCGTGGTATAAAAAATATTTAATGATCTAATTTTTTTGATGAAACAATCTGAAATTTTAAAGAAATTTAATTATATCCGCATCACAATTTCTAAATATTGCAAGTCCTGTTTATTGAATCGATTACAACTTTCAAAATAAAAAAACTTTTTATTCGGCAGATTAGCTTTTATTTTAAATTGAAACCACGAAGCTAATGTAGAAAATCGAATTAAGATTTAAAACATGAATCAAGAATTGGTTATATCTGTATCAGATCAAAAATTATATAAGTAATTTCATGTGTTGAAAAATTTGGGGGCAGGGATCTGGACCCCTTCAGACCCTCTTCAGCTACGTCCCTGTGCCTCGGAGTCTCGTCGGTCGTCGAAACCCTGTGTAGTAAATGGTGACTGATGCACGTTAAATCTGTCGGGGTCACAAAGTCCTCCAAGTTCCCATAACAAATCAATACCTTCCTAAAATAAAAATAAAAAAATACATAAATTGTTATGCGAGCTATAGAACGATATAAAATACATTTTTTGTTAAAAAGAAGTGGAAATAATTGAGAATGTATGTATTAAAAACACATATTTTACATTGAATGAAACTGAAAATACGTTTTGTTTAATCCGTTGTCGCAGATGGGACACCGGTGCTGAATTGGAAATTGATTGTTCTCTGGTTCAGGTCAAAATTACGATCTGTGGATGAATGATTGGATGTATGAATGGGTCCGCCCTGTAAAGCGGGTTGGGACGTGTGTGTGTAGCTTAAACCGCATTCCATATTCATCGAATGACCATAGATGGTGCCACTGAAAAACAAGAAGCGCACCCTCTGCCTTAATTTGCTTGGTTTCCCAAGCAGGCTTGCTGGCAGGGCAAGTAGGCAATAGAAACAACAAGAACAATAGCTTCTCAGCAAAATCACACCAATTCATTAAAACAAGGACTATCATTAAAAGTGTGTGTGTGGAATTATAAATATTATACTAGAATTATGTGTGTATAATTATTTTTTTCTAAAACCCTCAAAATCTTTTTAAAAATTATATTTAACTGATTAAGCAAGCCAGTTGCGGTACGTATTGCGATTGGTAGTACCATCTTTGAGATTCAACGATTAAGTACGGCTCATTTGCATTTAAACGCTTTAAAATTAATAGAATTTTTTAAAAAAATTAGAAAAACTTTTGTTTAATAATGACATAAAATAAATCTCTAAACATGTTCTACTGAAGTTTCGAGCTGATTTATTCATTTGAAGCGAAGCTGGTCAGATTTTCTGGAAACCACGTGAAAAACTGGCTCTGGCGTTAACATGATATTTTAAGTAGCTTTCAAAAATACTTGAGAAACATCGTTCAAATTTATAATCTTAAACAGGTAAATTAAAAAGAATGCTTTTGAAAATTTGGCAAACAAATTAATCAACAGGTTATAAATTTCTCCCCAAACTGTTTGTCTAAACTATTCAAAAAAATTTTCCCCTTTAAGTTTCAATGTCTTTTTAGAAACAAATCTATATCACCATAATTCATAACAACGAGCCATAATCACCATCCTTACGATACTTAGTTTTTTTCAAATATTTTATAACTGTCTTTGAACAGCTGACCCAATTTTGGGTTAACAACTACCAATGTTCATCTCCGCAGCCTTGTAACTTTAAACCCAATCCAGAAGACAAGAGAGCTTCTGGATCAAGTATCGGGAGAAATTTGCCTTTGTGAAGCATTGAGGGAACTAACTAGCATATGCGTTATATGGAGAGCAAAACCACTAAAACCTCGCATGGTTAGCTTGGCGGCAAGGGGACTCTAACCAATGATCCGTCTACTACTGTGGATATTTCACGTCAGCACAATGGTCAGTGTTAGCCGAGTGCGGAATTCGTATCGACCAGTCAGCTCTGGGATTCGAACCCGGTTCTCCTCATTGGAAGGTGAACGCTCTATCCCCTGAGCCACCACACCTGTAGCCACCACCGCTCTCTTCAAATATATAATCAAAAAATTATACAAATTTGGGATCGTCTAACGAATTACTGCTGAGAAAGGGGATGTTCAAAACATTT